TACTGTTGAAGACAATCACATTCGAGATCTCGAAGACATCTCCACTACGGTGTCTTACAATTTCCGGAAAGCCGATCATCGTAGCATTGCCGATGTGCTGTCAAGCATTGATTGGGAAAACATACTCGATTCTGATAACGTCGAAACCGCTGCTCAAACTTTTTCACATGTCTTGGCTTATGTCATTGACAGACACGTACCTAAGAGCGTTCACCAGATTGCATCGCACCTCCCTTGGCAGACGAACGAATTGAAGAAGCTGAAATCGATCAAGAGAGCCGCGTTGAGGAAATTCACTAAATATCGAACGATGTCACTGAAACGTCACTACGTTAAGCTCAATTATCAGTTCAAGCGAGTCAGCCGTCAATGCTACTTGCATTATCTGCGAGGGATTCAAAGGAAATTCAAGTCTTTCTGGAAGTACGTGAAGGAGCAGCGCAGAGAGTCCGGTCTACCATCATCCATGATATTGAACGGCGAAGTCGCTTCCACTCCACAGGAAGTCTGCCGCTTGTTCTCCAACAAGTTTGCAAGTGTCTTCTCTGACGAGAGCTTAACCAACGAATACGTGACTCTAGCAGCAAGCAACGTTCCACTTTCCGGTCAAGCTCTGGGTGGAATTGTTGTCAACGCTGAAGTGATAACGACTGCCGCACTAAAACTAAAGCCTTCTATCAACCCTGGACCGGATGGTGTCCCTTCAGTCATTCTGAAGAAGCATATCGCTAACTTACTGTCACCGCTACAACATCTGTTCCGATTGTTCATATCGTGTGGCATTTTTCCATCGAACTGGAAATTTGCGCATATGTTCCCTGTATATAAAAAGGGTAGTAAACGGAACGTGGATATTTATCATGGAATTACATCGTTGTGCGCAATTTCGAAGTTATTCGAGTTAATCATCATAGAGCCTCTGCTCTCCCATTGCAAGCAGTATCTAAGTGAAGATCAACATGGCTTCACCTCTGGTCGATCTACTACCACGAATCTACTGTGTCTGACATCGTACATTACGCAAAGTTGAAAGGTCACAAACAGACGTCATCTACACTGACTTGTCTGCTGCCTTCGATAAGATAAATCACACCATCGCGATCGCCAAATTCGATAGACTTGGGATTAGCGGAAATCTCTTGAGATGGTTTTGCTCATATCTCGCCGATCGTCAGTTGGTGGTAGCCCATGGTGACTGCCAGTCCGACATTTTCGCAGCTACGTCAGGAATACCTCAAGGAAGTCATATGGGACCGTTGATTTTCTTACTCTACTTCAATGACGTGAATTTAGTTATCGAAGGTCCACGACTATCGTATGCAGACGATCTCAAAATCTACTTACGGATCTGCTCGATCGATGATTGACAGTAAATCCTGCGAAGTGTTCAGTCATCACTTTTACCCGAAAGAAAGAACCAGTTATTTTTCACTACGGGACACAATTATTGAACGTGTGAGCTAGGTGTCATCCTGGACTCTCAACTTACATATAAGCAACACATCTCGTACGTCGTCGATAAGTCGTCAAGGACATTGGGCTTTATCTTCAGAACAGCTAAGAATTTCTCCGACATCCTCATCCTCAAGTCAATGTATTGTTCCCTGGTACGTTCCATTCTAGAATATTGTTCTGTGGTTTGGAGTCCGAACTACAACAATGGTACTGAGAGAGTCGAGTCCGTTCAACGCCGCTTTCTGCGATACGCGTTGAGAATGTTACCTTGGAGAGACCCGTTTCATTTGCCCAGCTATGAAAGTCGCTGCCAGCTGATCGACTTGGAGCCTCTTCGCACCAGAAGAGATACTTCAAAAGCCCTGCTTGTCGCGGACACGTTACATGGCAGAATTTATTGCATAGCAATCTTGGAGCAAGTAAACATTAACGTTCAACCCCTAATGCTTCGTAACAATGTTATGCTGAGAATGCCACTACGTAGGACAAACTATGCAATCAACGGTGCAATAAGCGGACTGCGAACTGACCAGCGCTTTCTTAATACGAAAAACACAAAACGTATCTGACATCTGACAGCAGATAATGCAGTGACCCTCCGCTTTTAACATCGATTATTTAACAACTCTGGGTAGTTATGTAAATTAATCAACCAACCGACAATTCCTCAATGATTTTCGAGCTGCCGACGTATCTTCACTGCAAAACAAAAACCGGTGTATCTGATTTGACGTATGTGAAAACCCTTCTGTCAAATAGACGAACCATGCAGGGTGTATGTAACAATCAAGGTGTGATGCCGACGAATCAATCAGGGTGTATGTGAGTAGTACACAAGTAAAAGGTGTATGATTTTGTTTTATCAAAAGTATTGTCTGTGTTTGCAAAACTCAAATTTTTTCACAATTCTCTTAAACGCAATCCCTTTATCCAACTAATAGCACAAACAGATTTAAAAAATAGCATTAACTTTTAAATAGCATTTAATAATCTCATATAGACATTGCTATCCAATGTTTCTAATTTCCTATCCAATGTTACATACGTCTTTTTGAAAAGTTATGCTTGATTTATCCGAGTTTCATCAGTATTCGATTTTCACCTGCCATGACTAACACTTCGGAGACGTTTCTTTTCATTCTTCTCCAGAAATGTAAACAGTCAATGATCATGTTTTAATGTTTTGTAGTTTTAACTTATGACTTTTAATTTTAAGTTAAACCATCATTGGGACCTGGGAATTGGGACCATATCGAGTCTGATGATGCTGACAAATAAATAAATAAATATGAATTGACAACTTACGGATGTTCCGGATCTTAGACAAGACCAGACTTGTGACCAACCGGAAACGAACTCATGCAAAAAGGTGGCCAACTATCTGCTTAACATCTTCTTCAAAGACATCAGAAAGTTATCTCATCTCTTCCGTACTATAGGAATCTTTACTGTACATTATTTTCATACTTCAAGACAAACAATTAAAAACTGTATGGCTAATATTGGGGGTGGGAAATTGATACTTTGCCCCTATTGCAAATTGTTGAGACGTTTACATATTAGCTCATTTTGCAAATTCACTTTTAAGCGAAAGATGGGAGGATTGTGTCTGTCTCATAAAAAAATATATATAAAATATATATAAATCATAATTCATATATAGAGTAGTTGCACGCCAAATGACGAATCGGAAAAACTCGACTCCGATTTGCAAAAAAAACTTTGCATAATTGTGTATTGTGGACAGGCATGGAAAATCATTTACGTTCATTTCATGCATTCATTTACATTCATTTGCCTCTAACTTTTTTCATCAACAGCATTCCGCGGAATGATGTAAAGAGCTTTTGTAGGTTTTGTTATTAGCTACAAATTTTGGTCATAACTCAAATCTGTATCTCTTATGCATCACGAACTAGAACGGGCAGAACTTGTTACTGTTTTTCAGTGAATGTAAAATACATTCACTGAAAAACAGTAGTGGCTTCTGTTCGCTCTGGTTCGTCATGCATAAGAGATACGGATTTGAGTTGTTAACAAAAGTTGTAGCTAATAACAAAGCCTACAAAAACTCGATACATCATTTTGTGGAATTTTGTTGATGAAAAAAGTTAGGGACAAATGAATGTAAATGAATGCACGAAATGAATGCAAATGATTTTCCATGCCTGATTGTGGATAATCATTCATATTTTGGCAAAAATCACGCCATTTTGGATGTTGTAGTTTTTTTTTAAATGGCGTCTTTCATTTTCCAATAAATTGTAGCACGAAAACGTCACTTCTGATCAAAATGACGTATGACACACAGTTGTCAGGAAAAACTAGAAATACTTAGAGGGAGAGATGGGCGGAGAAAACAAAATACAATTCGGCAGCAGGGATTTGTACCTAAATTATCTTGCAACCCTTGTTAGAAGCTAGCATTTCACATGACTTTTACTTTTGATTTGATTTACGTGCCAAATAATAGCTGAGTGTATCGCAATATTTTGTATATTTCTTAGTGGTATTAATTAACGAACTAACATTAATTTATCAATACAGTCAGAATATTGCTTACGATTAAAAAAAAAACTAGTTGAATTTCAGAGCACATGAAACGTGATTGAATTTCTGTTCGATTGCAATACTCTCAAATTTAATCTTGTAAGAATAAGAAATCCTCGGAAAAATTCTAATGGAAATGTTCAAATGGCTCAGATTTTGATGGTTCATTTGACTCAAAACATTCTCTCCGCTCATCTTTCCCTCTGAGTATTTCTAGTCAAAACCAAATCTTTCTGGAAACGGATTTTGTTGTAATGTTGAGTAAAAATTAAAAAAAAAGAGGTAAACACTCAAGTATCTCAAAAAGTATATCCTCAATTTTTATATTTTTTGCAAAGCTCATGAGAAATGAAAATTGACAAAAATCGTAGATCAACTATTTTTGGTCGAATTTTCAAACTTTTACTAGTACGCTTTTATGTAATTTCTACACAGGCTACAATATTTAAAAAAAAAATCTGTGTAAAAGTTACGTAAATTCAAACAAAAAGTGTAAAAATATTACCAAAAGTTGAAGATCTAAAATTTTGGTAAATTTTAAAATGTCAAATATTCCAATCGTTTGCATTTTTATGATCTTTCTAATAAATATTTCTTTATAACTTTTCTAGTTAAAGTTATAGTTTTTGAAAAATTTGAGTTTCCAACATTTTTTTTTTTATTTTACTCAAAATTACTGAAAAGCCGCCGTGGGCATTTTGCCCAGAAACACAAATTTTCCCAATAACTTTGTCTCAGACGCCATTTCAAACAGAAGTGACATTTTCGTGCTACAATTAATTGAAAAATGCCAGAAGCCATTTTGAAAAAAATACAGGTTCCAAAATGGCCGTATTTTCGCAAAAAAAGATTAATGGTTACCCATAACATACAAAACATTCATGCAAATCGGAGAAGGACGAGCTTAAAAATGTTTGGCCTGAAGCTTGTTTTTCTATTTGGCCTGCAACTGCTTTATAGAATCGTACTCCACTCACTGACGTGCAAATACCAACCTGTGTGTCCATCGTTCGTCACCATCACCTGGGTGGGATCCAGCTGGTAGTTGGTAAACTCCAACTGCTGCATCTCGAGGCCGGGCCGTGCGGTCATCGACGACAACGGAATGGGACTCTGCATTGTTCCGTTACACTGCGGGCTGATAGTGTTCCATTCTGCTTCGCCACTGCTCCCGTAGGAGTAGTCGGCTGTGGTAAGTAGAAGAAGGATTGTAAACTTGAATTTCACCGGATGGAGAAGAACCACGATCTTTGGTTGATGTAAACAAACAAGTCCATCTCGAATGGGCCTGCTGTGATAGAATTGCGCTTGCAGAAGTTCCATTGAGCTTTGTGACCTCCGTACATAACCTCACAAATGAAATATCCTTATTCCTAAGAAACTTACGTTCATCGCAAAGGACCGAAAGCACCAAACCGAGCACCACAAAGACCACTAGTTGCACTTTCATTCTGGTATACTTTCTCTTCCGCCTGTCGCAAACCTCTAGCACTGCACTTCCGAACCGTGGGTATTTATTGGACAATTTTTTTCGCCATCATTCTCGAACTGCCAGTTAACAATTAGTAACATAATTAATTTTTCCAGTTGGTTCTTGGTAGCGGCAACCAGCTGATATCGGAATCATTGCGTTATTGTTATGCACCCGATGAATGGTAGGTTGGGTTGTTTCTACTAATGAAAAACTCTGCCCTGAGGGTATCGGACAAATTTACGCGACCGGCTTGTCGCTTTTCATCGATCATGGCTGTCACATAAAATGCGAATATTAGTTTTTATTCTGCACTGGGTATCAATCGAAAAAAAAGGGTTGTAAAGTTTATTTTGAACTAGGTTTATTACTGTGTGTTGGCGGCTGGTTCTGAACAATAAGTGGTTTCTAGTGAGAACTACAATGTTGCAACTTTCATTGTTGGTATCCCAACTCGTAACAAGATTGACTGTGAACGTTGTAGGGATTTCGAATAAATCTTTATTAATCTAAAGAAACACAAACAATTGAATTGCTACTAATATTTCAAATATAATTTATTTAAAAAAAGAGTTTCCTCCTACTTAAAAAAAGGTTCGTACGTCATTAGAAAATTAAAATAAGAATCTGTAAAGATAAGATAATGAAATCTGATCGACACAAACAAGCCTGGTATTTGGAAAAACCACCTGGTTTATAACATTCTATATGGAACACATCGAACATCTTCAACATTCTGACATTTCTCCGCATGCCTTGAAAATAGGATAACCTTACAGCAACATCACTAATAACTACCGCACTGAAGCGAATACTTTGGTTGGAACCTTGCGCTACTATAATCTAAACTTACATCAATTGAAATCATCTTGTTTCCATCTTTGAAATGCAATCGTGTCTCTCTTCGAAAGAAAAATCACCTCTTCCAGCATCAGTAGCGATAGACTCGTCGATTGTACAGCTTCTGCACCGGCCGGTAGTTGTTGACCATCGGGCCACTCTTGGACTTGATCTTCCGGAACCGTTTGAGCTCCGTCGGTGTGATGAGCAACGGTTTCGCCGAAACGATCCACGTCACCGTTTCCAGGCAGGGTGGCGTCGTCAGGCTTCCCTCGTACGAGAAGTACGGCCAGTCGACGTCACCGATCAGATCGTACAGCGGGAACGTATCGATGAACTGAATGTTGAATTCCGTATCCGGGGTGATGACCTCCTTAAGGAAACGGGTCCACGTGTTCAGCGGTTCGTCGCTAATTTCGTACATTTCATAGAATAGACCCATGACAGCCAGTCCATCCACTTCGCTGCGGGCATCTTCGAAGGATGAGTACAGAGAGTTGAAGAACAGTAGGTGAAGTTCCATGGGGTAGCGCTGCGAGTCCAGGACATGTTCCGATCCGACAGAAGTGTTCGAGCCCCAGTGGAAGTGGAACTGTTCAAAGTAATATTTGGTCCTCAGTGGACCTCCCCGGAGGTATGGTCGTTCTCCATTACGCCAAACATAAGTGAATTTGGCCGAGTGACCATCGTTCTGGAGTTTGATCGATTGAGGAAGGTTGGTTTGGCCAACTAGTTGCAGCGGTCGCTTGTTCCGCACGTACAGAGCACTGCTCGTGTTCAACATTATCGGGCTCTGGAACTTTCCGCCGCATTGCGGCGTAATCTTCTCCCAATTCGGTGGGCCATTCTTGTCCTTGTCCTTGTAGGAAAACTCTGCTCCTCCCGCTGATGCGTCCCGCTGTCGGTCTCGAGCCAGCGAGAGGCTATTGCTGCGGCGGGTTGTCCTATCACGGGAGTAATCGAAAAAGAAGTCTCGATTTGGCGCATTCAAGCCAAACCGTGCCCGACTGGGCGATGGATTGTAGTCCACTTCAGTGCTGTCGTAATCTCCGGACAAACCCCCCCGCTGACCGTCGTCATCGCGGAAGGACACCGCTCGTCTAGGAGTGACCGCAGAGAATTCCTCATCACGATGGTCATTATAGATGTCCAGTCCTGCGGGAGGGAGAAAGGTATAAGAGGGATAGGATTAGCTTTGTTTGTAGACTACAATGATTCGATTGACTGGATCCTTTGGTGTCAACACCTCATTATTCAAAATCAGAAGTCATATAGATCTGAACATTTCACTTTAAACGAGGGATGCCAGATTTGAAGGCATGTCCTCATTTTAAAGATATTTGAAATTATGTGAAGACATTACATGCTTTGTGAAGATGTTTGAAAACATGCTCTAACTGATTAAGATTTCCAACGGATTTAATAGTTTTAAACAGACATGAAGATTTTTGCTAGGTATAGAAAGAAGATTTGGATTTCGTATTTTATGTTCCTTCTTTTAAATCTCTATTATGAATAATTAAGATATTTTTCAGAATAATAGATTATCAACCTGAAAATTTATAGAAATTTACTGAAATCCTCGATTGGTTGGAGATCTTTTGAATACTTTCTGACCAACGTGACATTTGGGGACAATATCTGAGGGACGTCATTTGAATTTTTGAACAGTTTCAGATCTTCAAAATGAACTTCATAAAGCTTGATAAAATATCCAGAGGACTTTGTTGAAATATTCGAGCAACTGGAAATCTTTGAAATAGTAGAAGTGTGGGGGGGAGGGGAGAGATAATATATGGAAACGACGTCTTAAGATTAATAATTGATCAATCTGAAGTCTTGAAAAAATACCCAGAAGACTGCCAGGCCAGCCACTTTTTGATCAACCTGCCATGACATAAAAATAGCTGCAAGACGACGTTTGAATTTTGTTGCAGATTTCAGAACAGCACTTAATCAACCTAAACACTAACTTATTTTTACCGAACTCAGTATATTTTTTTGACGAGTTTAGAACAGCTGAGCGCTCGGCAATCGTTTCGGTAATTTCAACAGATACTGGCAGTGTTCACTCGGCTGTCGACAGAAGCAGACCACTCTCAATGTGTGTTACGCGATCGTCTGTTTACTCGACAGCAACCATTGTGTGGTCCTCCTCATTGTTCTTCACCAGCAGTTCTTTCAGTCGATGCGTCTTCGCTTTGGAAAGCAACCGTTTCGTGATGGATGTGTGAGTGCTGACCACGTATTGCGTCCATTGCTGCAATGGAAGCGCACTGGAAGAGGCTCCCGTTCTAGTGAAGGAGGCTTATTGGAAAGCGGAAGATAAAATGTTTATTGTGTTGTAACTCTGTAAAGTTAATTCGATTGAGCCTTATCAAATAAATTAATAAATAGAAAATAGATACTGAGCACTCGGTAGTCAAGCTAGCTGTCAAATATAACCGAATATACTGCAATAGCAACTCAGTACATATTTGAAAAAATTTCAGCAAGAATAAATAAATGTTATGGGCACAGACAAACATACATAACACTCACAATCACATTCTTCAAAAAAAAAAGGTTTCAGTTCGGAATGTGCTCGCATTTGTCATGGTGGCACCACTGAAGCGTTAAGCAAGTCAGCACATTTCGAACTTATCAGTGGTGCCAGTTCGTTTTCAGGTCAATTTAGTAGATGTCAGCTATTGAAATAAGGAGGCAACGCAACAAATCACCTTTCATTGTTTCTTGGGAAGGCATCCCACATACTAATATGACGAATACAGAAAAAAACAGATATTGATGGTGATGATGATGGTCTCACCGCTTACCCCTACAAACATTTGAGCTGGACGATTTATCACAGACAAACAGACATAACTCTCCTAATCGCAAACTTCGCAAATAAGATTTTAGTAGGGAATGTGCTCGCATTTGTCTTGGTGGCGTCACTGAAGCGTTAAGTAAGCCACCTTATTTTGAACTTATCAGTGATGCCAGTTCTTTTTCAAGTCAATTTAGTAGATGTCAGCTCTTGAACATGATAAGAGGGCCACCCAACAAACAATTTGAGCTGATTAAAAGCTGGATAAGCATTTTTTTCAGCTGAAGAAGCAATTATTTGCCTGAATAAGCTCTTATTCAACATTCAATGTTTGTTGGGCAGGCATCCCACTGGAGACACATGCCACTTACCAATCGGACGAATACAGAGTTGATGAATATAACATCCAAACAGCTGCACATTGGCCATTCCACTGGTTGTGTAGTTATTGCAAGGCTATTTTGATGACGTTTTACTTGTTGATAATTATTATAACACTCTTGTAACATGTTATAACACTGTAGTCTGAACAAGACATTACCAGTCACAATACATCATTATGAGTAGCATTGATTGATACATATTATATTTATTTGCTGTGTACACGTTAACGTGATGAGCAGTGGTAGAAAGGGCACGCATTAGTGATTCATTACCATGTTTATAATCTTTTTCCAACAAAAGATAAATCACACTAAACAAGCAAAATAAATCCCTAAAAAAAAACCTGCGTTTCTGTGAATATATCCTACGGATCCATATTTCTGCAAAATTTAACCAATTCTATAGATCTACGTCAAATTTGGTAGAATTAACATCACCGACTTGCATCTGTTTTGTTTTGACAACACGAGGAAAAAGCAACTGGCGAAAAAATTGCATGAATGAGCGATGCTCCGGTTGCACATCAATGCTTGGGAATGTGGATTATAAGCACCCCTTAGAAGCTTAGAAGTAACTCTAAGACAAGAAGGTCCCTAAGAAACGTGCTCAACTTTTTGGCTCAGCTCTGGTACTCTCTTCGGTCCCAAGCTAATCGATGCACCCCTCGAAACATATGAAAATCCACGAACCCCTCATTTTATCTGTCAAACTTTCAAAACAAACATAGTGTAGTTCTACACGGTTAGAAAAAAGTACCCAACGGCCAGTTCACTTTTACCTACTTTTGACTAGTTTGTCTACTTTTCTCCTTCTAATGTTGTCAAAAAAGAAGGAGCAATACCACCCAACAGGGGTAGTAAAGTGTGGGAACCCATCGTTGACTATAATCATATTTACCAACTGTTGGGTACAACTAACTTACTTTTGGCCAGTGGAAGATTCCATACGAACTGCACACAAGTAAATGAAAATTACTTTGACCCGCTTTACCTACTTTTGGGTTCCTGTACTATAGTGTCGAGATGAGTGAAAAGAACTTAATTTTGGGTACTTTTTTCTAACCGTGTAGAATTTTGTCTGGAATGGGGTACGTTATTCGATTTGCTTGGGACCAATAGGCTAGTCAAGTAGTGAGCCAATTTAAAATTGTCAGTTTTCACCGGTTGGTAATACCATAGAGGTAACTCTAAGACCAGAAGGTCCCGAAATAACGTGCTCAAGTTTTTGACTCAGCTCTGGTACTATCTTCGGTCCCAAGCTAATCGATTCACCCCTCGAAACATAGGAAAAACCAATAACCCCTCATTTTATCTGTCAAACTTTCATAGCGAATCAAAACAAACGTTGCTTAGTACTAGAATTTCAACTAGAATGGGATACGTTAATCGTTTGCTTGGGACCAATAGGCTAGTCAAGTAGTGAGTCAATTTAAAGTCGTTAGTTTCGTATTGATTGTTGGTAATACCGTGCTTTTACTGACTAAGCTATCTGAGGTCCCGTTGTCGATAAGGTTATATCAACAATCAATACGAAAATAACGATTTTAAATTGGCTCACTACTTGACTAGCCCAAGCAAATCGATTAACGTATCCCATTCTAGAATAAATTCCAGTACTACACTATGTTTGTTTTGATTCGCTATGAAAGTTTGACAGATAAAATGAGGGATTCGTGGAGTTTCATATGTTTCGAGGGGGCATCGATTAGTTTGGGACCGAAGATAGTACCAGAGCTGAACCAAATAGTTGAGCTCGTTTCTTCGGGACTTTCTGGTCTTAGAGTTACCTCTATGGTAATATGTTTTTATATTGTAAGTCCACCGCTCAGGTCACAGTAATAAGTGAAAAGAGTTGTTTGGAGATTTAACTCGGCAAAAAGAGATAGGATCTATTCAAAAATCAATCGAGCTTTGTGATTCCATTTTCCTCATAGCCTAGTTAGAAAAGGCACTAAGTCGGAGGCTGCGGGTTCAGTCCGGTCGAGGGAATCCTTCGGACTGGAAATTTTCGCGACTTCCCTCGGCATAGAGTATCATCATAGAGGTAACTCTAAGACCAGAAGGTCCCGAAGAAACGAGCTCAACTTTTTGGCTCAACTCTGGTACTATCTTCGGTCCCAAGCTAATCGATTCACCCCTCGAAACATAGGAAAATCCACTAACCCCTCATTTTATCTGTCAAACTTTCATAGCGAATCAAAACAAACGTTGTGCAGTAGTAGAATTTCGACTAGAATGGGGTAAGTTAATCGTTTGCTTGGGACCAATAGGCTAGTCAAGTAGTGAGCCAATTTAAAATCGTTAGTTTCGTATTGATTGTTGGTATCATAGTGCTTTCACAAGACGCGACGCGAGACAAGACACAACAATTATCGTTCTTACAACTTTAAAATAAATTAAAATTTACCTTACTGTCGACCGGTTTCGGGCGTGATGCTGCCCATCTACGGGACAATGTCCGACTGATTACTTGGATGTTCATACGTTGTTCCGTACACGTCCAAAAAGAAGAGAAGAGAAGCTACTGGATTCTCAGATTTGTCAGGTTGAAAAGGCAGGATATAATGGGGGGTTCATCTTCATTCATTAATGCTGCTGAACCATTAATGAATGAAGATGAACCCCCTTTTATATCCTGCCTTTTCAACCTGACAAATCTGAGAATCCAGTAGCTTCTCTTCTCTTCTTTTTGGACGTTTACGGAACAACGTATGAACATCCAAGTAATCAGTCGGACATTGTCCCGTAGATGGGCAGCATCACGCCCGAAACCGGTCGACAGTAAGGTAAATTTTAATTTATTTTAAAGTTGTAAGAACGATAAGTGTTGTGTCTTGTCTCGCGTCGCGTCTTGTGAATGTCGTGTAGTTCTTACGTTAGCACAAAACATAAAAAATAAGTATCATAGTGCTTGCCACTCAATATACAAATTCATGCATTGATATTTAGCATAGAAAGCTCTC